TCTTTCCCTCACCTTTTGTCGCTCTTTCCATCTCTGTCTCTTGTGGCTCATTGATATTCAGGCCTGCAAGTCAAAGGTGTAGCAACCCACCTTCAGTTTTCAGCTTTGATTGCCAATAACTTTGAGGAAGTTAAGGGGAAGGGGGAAGGAAAACCTCTAGCAAGTTAAATAGTGGTCTGGCTAGCCTTGGGGGTTTTCCCCTTGTTTAGCAATTACTTGAGAGGCCTGAGGAAGATTATCCACAAGGCATTAGCTGTAGCCTGTTATAAGCATTAGTCTGGAGGCTTATATAAAACAGAGACATCTGTTTTTCCATTCATCTCACAGTGCTGTCACTACAAAGACTTCATAACAATGCCGAGCTGTGTTTTTTAACGTTCACTAATAAAACCAATTATGACAAATCCTGTGGAATATAGTTCTCCATGGATGCTTTACAGTAGTTCTACTTATTTTTGCAACGTGTTTCCAGTCTTCCAATAGCAGCTTCATAAAGATTGCAGGTAAACACCATTAGTACGTATTTAAAATTGCCCTGTCAGAGCCCGAGGTCTGAACAGCCTAGCTGTGGGCCGGAGAGTTTGTGTGCAAACACGGCTACGGCCTTGCCTGTCAACTGGGTCAGCTGTGAGCTTAGAAGGGAGGTCTGCACCTTTAACGGTCAGCTCAGCCATGTTAATCGTTCTTACCGTCCTGCTGCTGCGCTCATACCTCTCCACTGATCCTCACGAGGCCGGAGAGCTCCCCCTTGTCCCGAGAGCATCTCTGTTTCCTTCCAGAAGAACTCGGCCCCTTAGGTTGGCAACATGGAGGGTAACACGGTATTTCAATCTTTTACGCAGCTATAGATGTGGACATGCTGAGAGGCGTTTGTGTGAATGGCTTTCATTTTGTTGGTTTGGTTTGGTTTTAGATGTCAGCAGTGGCTTCGGGGTGGGGACAGGCTGCTTTGTTTGTTCATTCTTCTTCTCTCGGCTGAGAAACGGCGAGTCTATCATTGGTTGCGTCACTGAGATCATCCCATGATTCATGGCGTCCTTTGTGTGTGTGAATCCGGCCTTGGCCGATCGGTCTCTAATTGGTGCTGCTGTGAGGGTGGCATGAGGAAAAGATACCAGTTCTTTGGCAGAGGCAGGAATATTGTTACCTGTTTTTGTTATGTAGCAAAATGGATTGCAGGGTCATCTGAGCATGTTTTGGAGAGAACAGAAGTCGTACAACTGAAGAAGTTAAGTGCACTCCTTTAACTAGACCTAGAAGCTCACTGCAGGTGAGGTGGATGAGGAGAAGAGAAGATCCGTAGCTGAGTTACAGCCATCATGACCTCCTATCAGGTGAAAGCAGTGCTGAATTTAAAATGTTTTGATCTCGTTAAGTGGGAGTCCCTCTTGGTAACAACTCCTGGTGAGAAGGCCAAGGAATTCGTGTCAGCTAAGTCAACTGAGGAGTTTGAATCCAATAGTTTATTCTGATCCCTGAAATTCAATCAGCTGTTCAGTGGGTTGCTACGAATTTCTGTCACACCAACCTTTGCGAGGAAGCAGGACGCTGTAACCTCTACGCTGTTCTATGGTACAGAGCTTTCCTTAGACAAAGAGGTCACTAGGTGTGTTTGGGGGCTGTTTCTACTGAGGTTTATTTTTTTGTCAGGAGCAGGCACTGACATCTGCAGGAAAGGCATCAAGGCTGCAAAACCTTAGAAAGGAATGAAGGCAGCAAGGCAAATACTGCAATTTTTTACTCTTCCAAAAAATCTAGATTGCAGGTCTGTGCAACAGGAAAAGACAGTGCTTCAAATGCATCGTTAAATGTGCAAATTGGATTTCTCCTCAAAAGGAGAAGAGTAATAAAGCAGACGTGCTAGGAGTTTATTGTGCTGTGGGAATCACAGGACAGAGTGAAGGTGTTTTCATATTCAGGAACATTACCTGTGAATAAAGCAGGCTTCACTTTTTCTCACGTAACTTGGATTTTGGCTGGAGCACAATGATAACAGCAGTTTAGGATTGCCTTATGAATTCAAAGCTGATGTTTAGTCATAACTGACACAGGGAAAAAAATCACATGGAGAAGAGACCCATATAGCAGGTAGGAGTTTCAGATAAATTAAACAAATAGTGACAAACACAAAGGAAATGAAGTCTGTTTCCCTCTGTTCTTATAACAGATAAGAGTCAGCCATGTAGAAAAGCAAGGAAGACAGGAAGGGGACGACCTTTAAATGCTCGGGAATAAGTAGATAGCATACGGTACATGGCTGAGGAGCATTTGTGTTCAGCGTTATGATTTATTGTGGTTGTAATCTGAGAGGGGACGACATGTCTCCAAATCATGAATGGAAGAAGAGTAAGAACTTGTTGTAATGGAAAGCTACTGCACAAAGACGTTTCCTGTTAAAGTTTCTAGTTATGCTTATCTTAAATTAATTGTGGCTAATAAGGAAAAACTGGAGCAAATTCATATTACCAGGGCAAGTGTAGAGGAAGAAGAGTTTTTTCCTAATGCTAACTTTTCTGGGAATATAAGAGCTGGAGTTCATCTATGTTTTAACCTATCCTCCATTGGCCTTTGTCCGTTTACCCCCTCATTCAGATGTCTCGGGACACAAAGTGTGCACATGCTACCATAATGGCTGGGCAGGCATGTGCACCATTTTAGCAGACTTTCAAAATGCTGTGCTTCCTTTGTCTGTATTTTGCTTTCCTCCTCTCTTTTTCCCCCCCAGCTGCATGTTTTTTCTTGTAATTCATGAAAATAATGCCAACCTGACGTTTCTTTTAGCCCCTACTATGCGATTAGCTGTCATGTCTTGTAGGGCTGGCAACATGTTTCCATGAAGTCAGTTTTGTTTGCTCTTTTGTTCGCCTCTCTGTGCCCTAAATATCTAATGGGAGTAACATTATTGTGAAGATACATCCCCTGTCAGAGATGCTCAAGGAGTGACAGAACAGCATTTTGATGGGCAGGAAAATTTATTGTTTTGTAATTCCAAGGTAAATCTGGTTTATGTACTGTAACAAAACCCTTCGTGTCAATCACGTTGCCGCAAGAGGGAAAGGTACTGTTAGGTGAAATGGCATTTGATTCAGTATTCCTTGACTGGGTCCCTATAGGCTGACAGGAAAACCAGTATACTCTTGGTCAGATTTGGTAAACAAGGAGAGAGAGAAAAAGAGGGAGGGTTTGCAGAGAGTCAACAGTCTGTCCACCGCGCTAATTTTCACTGAACCAAGATGAGTAGTGCTGTTCTTTGACAGGAGGACAAAGCCTCATGAAGTGAAAGGTTATATCAGGAAATTCAGTCACTCGTCTGAAATTTGCAGGCTCTAGGATTCTCTCTCTCTTTCCC